ATCCCAGCACTTTCAAAAGCCAAGGTGGGAGGACTGGTTTAGCCCAGAAGTTTGAGATGAGCCTGAGCAATATGCTGAGACCCCCAACTCTACAAAAAATAAAAAATTAGCCAAGTGTGGTGGCTCATGCCTGTAGTCCCAGCTACTTGGGAGGCTGAGGTGGGAGGATTGCTTGAGCCTGGGAGGTCAAGGCTACGGTGAGCTGTGATCATGTCACTGCACTCCAGCCTGTGTGACAGAGTGAACTCTTGCCTCAGAAAAATGTGTGTGTGTGTGTGTGTGTGTGTGTGTGTGTGTGTGTGTGTGTGTGTCTTTTTTTCTAGACCCTGAAGCTGGCGTGCAGTGGTGCAATCACAGCTCACTGCAGACTCAACCTCCTCAGGCTTAAGCAATCCTCCCATCTCAGCCTCCCATGCAGCTGGGACTACAGGCACAAGCCACCATGCCTGGCTAATTTTCTTTTTCGTTTTTGTAGAGATAGGGTAGTACTTATGTTGCCCAAGCTGGTCTCAAAGTCCTGGCCTCAAGTGATCTGCCAGCCTCAGCTTCCCAAAGTGCTGGGATGACATGTGTGAGCCAATGTACCCCATCCAGATTTTTTTTTCATAGAACTTTTCAAGTACATCTTCGAATTAATGCAAGGAATAAACAGAAAAGAACAGCTAAGAAAAAAACTGAAGAAGAAAGAGAAAGGAGGAGGAGCAAGGGAGCCAGAGACTCACTCTTCAAGATAATATGACTTATTATGAAAGCTAGAGATATTAGAAGGACATCATAGCACAGAATGGTCCACACAGACAGACAGACTCAGGAACACATGTAGACGCAGTTCCTCATACATGTGAAAACTCCATTATTTATTTATCATACTTGGCTCCAATCTCTCAATTTAAATACACCAGCCATTTTCTCCTGGGATACTGAAAGGTACACCACATACAAATTCTGCTTTTTATGTGGTTTATCCTTTTAGGAAAGTTACTTCACCCATTTTACTTCAATTACTTGATCTATAAATGGTACTGCTGTGGGAATTAATTGTGATGATCTATACAAGTTGCTCAGCACAGCTGCCAGCGTGGTGAGCAGTAGTAAGTGGTTGCTATTATTGCCATGGCGGTTTTTATTTCTGCTCTTACTACTACTGTTTCTTCATTGCTATGAAGGGATCTAAGTAGCACCTTACCATAGTTAGACAAAATGCCGTACTGGTTAGGGTTCTCCAGAGAAACAGGCCAAGAGGATATATAGAGATATATAGAAAGAGATGTATTATGAGGGATTGGTTCATGGATTACAGAGGCTGAGAAGTCTCCAGATCTGCCGTCTGCATGCTGGAAATCCAGACAACCCAGTGTGGTTTCTTCCAGTCCAAGTTCCCTAAGAACCAGGAGAGCTGGTGCTTGATGGCAGAAGGTGGATGTCCCAGCTCAAGCAGAGAGCAAATTTGCCCTTCCTCTGTCTTTCTGTTTTACTTGGGCCCCCAATAGATGGGATGATGCCCACCCGCATTGTTGAGGGCACTCTTCTTCACTCAGTCCACCAACCTGAATGCTAATTTCTCTCCGAAACACCCTCACAGGCACACCCAGAAGTACTATTTTACCAGTGAGCTGAGCATCCCTTGGTTCTATCAAGTTGACACATAAAATTAATCATCACAAACACTAAAGCCGAACTTAAGACAGGATAGCTAAAACATAATTTGCTATCAGATTTAGAGAACTTCCCAGAATTTTCCTAAGGTCACCATCATATTAATGAACATTGAACACTCTTTGCAAAATACAAAAATATCGGTAGATATCTTCTATCCACGTATTATGAATGGGTCAGTCCAGTTCATCTCCTGCAAACATCTTCATCATCATCTTCATCAAACAAGAGAAGACTTTACTATTTGCAAGGCTAGGCTGCACTAATTACATTCCACAGATGCTTGCAGGTGTATCAGCCACAGCAGTTAGCGAAGCTCTTACAAATGCAGGTCTCCACAAACAGCAACCAACACAAACCACCAGGTGGAGGCCAGCCAGTATCCACCCCTGTACCTGTGCACACCTCTGCTGGCTGCAGGCCTCATGAGACAGTTCTACCAGCCAGGAACGATGACACTGGTTGTTGTACACCTACAGACTCTTATGTTCCAGCAGATTATCCCCCCCCTTTTAAGTTCAATTTTACATATATGTTATTTTAAGATACTACAAGTTGCAACACAGAATAAACATTTTAATTGGTATGACATTGAACTATTCAAAGAAAATTATGCAATAGAAAATATGAGAAAACAATTAGTAAACACTTGGTTACCTGTGCCATAAACGGAGATGGAAAATGCTAAACTGTAGTTACTTTCAAAACATGTATATAGGTCTTATTTTATTTTTATAGGCATTTCTTTCTAATCACCTTTGGTTATATTTGCATGGTATCTAAAACCAGTTAGATTGGTAGAGTCTTAGGCCATATGAGGGGTGAGGGGGAAACCGACTGCAAGGAGGCACTGAAGCATTTCTGGGTGACAGGTGGGATCTGTATCTTGACTGGGGTGCCGGGGGCAAGGATTATACAAGGAACTGCATACTTAGGATCTGGGCATTTATCCATAGGTATAAATTCAATTTTTTAAAAAGGTCACAGGTACAGGGACAAAAAAGTTAAAACACAAATTCTAAGAGGTTATACTTGAAGGTACATCCCACTACTCTATTTCTTCACCTGATGGAATAAAATCTTGAAATATTCAGCAAATTGATTGTAACTCCCAAGGAGTTTACTAAAGATAGCTGGTGAAAGGAAGTGACTCAGAGACCTATAAGTGGCAAAGAGGAGCCAGTTGAGGATTAGGCCTTTGCTGGGAGTAAACCACCCACATAATTGTAGGGTCAATGTCTCAGTTACCTGTGCTTATTCAGAGTGGTGTTGACTTGGTGGCATCCTAGCCTTTCTGGAGTATGCTTCAGCCACTAAGAGATTTTGATTTTTCATCAGCATGTGCCCGAAGCCTCTGGGGTCACCCTGAAGGGACTAAATACAATTAGATCTATTCCCTGACAGCTGAACAAGAACATATAGATTATTAACTGACAGCTTGATGTGAATCTCAATGGATGTCTCAGGTGATGTGCCCCAGGGGTCTGCGCCAAACATTTGTATCGACAATTTGGATGAGGCCACAGAAGGTGTGTTTACCAAATGTGCAGAAGCCACACACCTGGGCACGACCACCAATATGATGGGCCACGGATTCACTTCTAACATCACCTGAAAAGGGACATTGGTTAGTCCCAAGCCAATAAGTTAAACTAAATTTAAAATAAACTGCCATTAGATCAAAAGACTGCCAAGTACATGGTGGAGGTGGGAAACGTGACCTGATAGAATTTTATGGAGAACACCCTGTGGCTTTAATTGGTCACACATGCATTATAAGCCAATGTTGTGGAACAGTTGGTTAAAAGTTGAACGCCTTGATGGACAGACCCACAACCTCAATACAGAGGATCTCCTTCAGCTCAAGATGCAGCGTGTCAGAGTGACATTGTTGAACTGGAGCATGAGCCACCAGGATGGTGGGATGTAGACATGTTGTGTGCTATAAACATTTTAGGAAATGGCATTGTTCAGCCTGAAAGAGAGTAGACAGTGGTGACCAACCATTCCAGTTTTCCTGGGACTGAACTTTCCAGTTCAGTTTCCAGACCCAGAACTTTTAGTTTTAAATCCAGGATACTCTGGCACACCAGGACAAGCTGTCACCCTAGGTCAAGATGAGAATGAGTAAGAGGTGCCAGGACACATTTGGACCAGGACACAGACTCTGATTTCCAAAGGCTGGAGGGGCTTATTCTCAGTCATACTACACAGGACCATGGCAACAGCAGAAGTGGCCCAGAGGCAGAGTTGGATGCAAGATAAGGCTAGTTCTGAGGCTCCCAAGGAGTTTTCGTGGATGAGTGAGCAGCACGCGGCAGGTCTGCCTGAGAAGGAGCTCATAACTTCCTGGATATGAAGACCCCTTAAACACACACATACACCAGAAAATGCATCATGGTCAAAACCTCTTCATTCAGGGATGCTTTTAAAGGAATCCATATTCTATCAATCACAACAGTGTCTTGATACATTTGAAAGTTCTTGAACATGTGCATGGAAGATGTAGGATTTATTCTTTCTGTACAGAATGCTCAGGCCTCAGTTCCCTTGCAAACACTCTGATCCACTACCCGCCCAGCTCACCTTTTGGGTTTTCAGCCTCAGGGGAAAGGGTGAGGCTGAATGGTGCCCCAAGATTCTTTTCAACTCCAAGATTCTATTCATTTATCAATATGGTACACATTTTTCTTTATAATGTTGTGTATAATTTAATAATAGCCAGTATATAATAATGCACATATTTTTCTTTCTATATGTTGTTTTCCTCTGGTACTTGTTTCCAGTGCCTAAGGTGTTCTAGAAACTGACATCAAGCAAAATGATACAGATACAATGTGAAGAGCAGATGCATTTGCAACTCTGAAAAGTCGAAACTGTAAGAAGAGGAGCCATGCCTGTCCTCATTCTGATAAGGAAGACAAAGGAGGAGAACACAGGGAATAGTAGGTGGAGAAGCCCTGTCCTACAGGAGTCACTAGACCGGAGAGGGTGGGCACAGCAGGGGAAGAGGGGGCTCCAACCCCAGCCCAACTCTGGAGGGGCAGCTGTATTTGCAGGGAAGGGATGGGGGAGGTTGGTGGGGATACAAGCCATGAGAGCCAGGGCCTTAAAAGTGGACAGGTGCGTAAGGCCTGACTCTAGACACCAAAGTCAGAGGCCTGGGGACCAAGTTAGAGAGATCAAGAATCCTGATGAGGACCAGGGAGGCTGGACTGGCCTGAGTGTGAATCCCAGCTCTACCCTTCCTGGCTATGATGGGCATGTTACTAAAACCCACTGAACCTTAGATGCCTCATCTGCGAAATGCCATGTCAAGAGCCTGGCATCATGCCCGACCTGGA